AGTCCAACTTTGGAGCATCCTGCACTGACTCAGACAGAACCTAATTTCATCAAAGCCACTACAGCAGCACTACAGTCTTCCAGTTTAACGAGACAGTCTGTTTGGAAAGGTCCTAAAATGCAGCCTTATAATAAGGATGAAGACAGTGAACATTCCCTAAGAACTTTTGAAAGGATTCCAAGTGGATGTCAGTAGCCACTGGAAGACTACCATGTGCTCCCCTTCTCACTGGTGAGGCATGAGCTGCTTTTGTAGCCATAGACATTGGTCAGATTATGGATTATGTAAAGGTCAAGAAGGCTGTTCTTGAAAAATTTCAAATACGTACGGAGACTTACAGACTCAGATTTCACTCCACTAGGCTGGAGGATAGTGAGGCACCTAAAGAGTTGAAAACAGACATGAGAGATCTGTATGACAAGTGGATAGTTCCAAAAGAAAGGTGAAAGAGGACCTCACAGCACAAGCATACTCCCAATGTATTATAAGACTGTGCTGTCAAGGAGTCAAACAATGGGAGACCACACCATTGTAGAAACACAAAAAAAAAAAAACACAAAAAGATGTTCAAAGCACCACCTTGGTAGCCTGATATCACACAGATGCTGTCAACTGAGCTCTGTAGAATGGGCAGTCATAATGAAGCAGTTCATTTCAAGCTGCTCTTCACACAGCTTTTGCTTTTAGCTACAAGAAGACACCAAATATAGGACTATGTTGATGAGCTTCAAGTAATGAACCCTTTTTCAATACATGCTTCAGAAAGCTTCATTTGGGCCATGACTACTCAGTCACATGGTGCTTTATATTTTATATGTTGCAGATTTAACTCATTTGTAGGGATGGGAAGGTTGAAACAGACGTTTCGATACTGTATCGAGCTTCAGAAGCACAGATGTTTTGAAACACTGCTCCGAAGTGTGATTCAAAACATGTGACCACTTTACCCCAGTTTCAACTGGGGCATACCTGCTGCTTCTAGGCATTGCCAGGTGCAAGGATTCCCTTTTTCCTTTTTATTTACCAGAGTCTTTTGAACTGGGCCTTGTAATCACTGAATTAATGCAAACCGCAGTTTGTTTTACGCAGCAAAAAATCTGCAGTAAGCCTCCACAAGTTGCATTAAAATATGGAGATTTCAGATTACAGATATACTAGACTGATTAAATCATACAACTTGCTGAAGGCTAACAGCAGCGGTCCGATTTTACATTGAAGTGATACTTTCAACAAACACGTGGGAGTCTAAAGGGTGGTATTGCATGTTACACCATATTAATTTTAAGGCTTTTGTAACAATTTTTAAATTGAAACTGTATTCTGCTGTGTGCACCCAACCACAAAGCAGAATGCAGCCATTGTAAGCAGGGAAAAAGTAATGATAATTTCTATGTAAAGTACCTATGAGCGACTGGATGTGATCGTTATGTCCAGTATGGCGGACAGCTCTTAAGCGACATGCACATGACATCATGTGCAAAACCTCTATAACAGCATGGTACGCTGACTGCACAGAGAACCACAAGAAATCCCTCAAACGAGTAATAAGAAAGACTGCTGAAGGACATAATTGGACTCCCTCTGCCCTCACTGGGTGTTCTTTTCCTGAACTGAATACTGTCGAGTCTTTTTAAAAAATTTAAAAAGCCATGCCAATAAAAGAAATCTAAAAGTATTGCAACTATATAACAGGACTAGAGATGGCATGATACCACTTTTTTATATCCGATATCGATACCGATACCATAAATTTGGATATCGGCCGATACCGATATGAATCCGATATAGTGTTTTTTAATCAATAAAACTGTTTTTTAATATCTTGCTGCATTTTGTATAAGTTCATACTCAAGTTTAAAAACAAACAAACACTAAAGCTATTCTGTTATACCTGTATGCAAAAAATACACTGCACCCAAAATATTTCATAGTTTAGCAATACTAATCAATCTAATGAACTTAAACCTTCTCCATCCTCCCTATTCTGGTATTTTAAAGAGTAAGCAACCTAACTAATAGGGTTGCAAACTCCCAGCAAA